TGACACTAGGCAGCGCTATTCCACCTATGATAAAAAATTCTATGCGGTGATATAATCTCTTTGCCACTAGCGTCACTACTTGCTGTCGTAATAATTCGTTATATATTATGACCACGAGGCCCTTCGATATATTCACTCCCAAAAGAAGTTGAGTGCCAGACATGGTCGTTAGGTTGAGTTCCTCCAGGATTAGACCTACACGATTAAACATAAATCGAAAGTAGAGAATAAGGCCGTTGATGCACTCAGTCGCCGCATGCACCTTCTTTCCATTATGAGTGCGGAAGTAGTCGGCTTTGAGAAAATCAAAGAGCAGTATGAGTCGTGCTCTGATTTTAGCGAAGTTTACACTTTGTTAAGTGATGAAGTGACTCATGAAATAGATGGTTTTCTCCCGAAGGATTTATATCTTTTTTATTTTCGCAAGTTGTGTATTCCCAACACCTCCCTGAGAGAATTCTTGATTTGGGAACTACATGCTGGAGACCTTGCAGGACATTTTGTGAATAACAAGATTGTCGAGGCAGTTGTATGTCGCTTCTATTGGTCAAGTATTAAACGTAATGTTGTTAGGCTAGTGGGTCGATGTCACACCTGCCAACTGGATAAACAACGTAAGCAAAATACTGGTCTGTACACTCCTCTCCCTGTTCCAAATTGTCCATGCCAAGATGTCAGTATGGACTTCGTGTGAGGACTTCCGAAGATGATTAGAAAACACGATTCTATCCTTGTTGTGGACCGATTCTCCAAAATAACCCACTTCATACCGTTTTTCAAGACTTCTGATGCTTCTCATGTGGCCAAGCTGTACTTTAACGAAGTCGTTAAACTGCACGGATTATCAAAAACAATTGTTTGAGAAGGATGTTAAATTTACCAGATATTTTTAGAAAACCCTTTGGCACAAAATGGGAATTAAACTTCAATTCTCAACAACTTTTCATCCTCAGACTGATGGTCAAACTGAGGTAGTTAACAGGAGTTTAGGTAACCTTTTGGGATCGCTGGTTGGTGAGAATCTTAGGGATTGGGATGAACATTTGCCTACTGCTGAATTTGTTTATAATAACTCCATAAGTAGGTCTATAGGTGTCAGTCCGGCTGAAGTCATGTATAGTTACAATCCTAGATAACTTAAGATCTTGTCCCCGTGTCTGCACATCATAGAGTATTTGAGTCAGCATCTGTGCTTGCATCTCGCATTCATGATTTGCATAAAGAAATCAGCAAGAAGATCAACGACAGCAATCCCGACTATAAAATACGTGCAAATCTAAGGAGGTTCGAAGAATTTAGTATTGGTGATTATGTGATGGTCCGAATACGTCCGGAACGGTTTCCTCCGGGAACTGTTAAAAAGTTGCATGCATGAAGTGCAAGGCCTTTTAAAATTCTTAAGAAAATTAATGATAATGCTTATGTTCTCGACCTTCCTGAAGGTTTTAATATTGGTCCGACTTTTAATATTAAGGATTTAGTAGAGTACAAATGCCCACATTTTAACCTTGACAACCCACTGGTTGATGAACATACCCCTGAGCCTATTTCTAAGAGCTCCCCTTTGCCTCCACTTCCTCAGATATCACCCCCATATACAACACATAACATTGATAATATTATTGATGATAACATTATTTCTACTAGAGATGGTGGTATCCGTAGGTACTTGGTGCGATGGAAAGGTCGACCTGAGTCTGATGATACTTAACTCGATCGAGATGATTTACAGAGTCTGGATCCAGATCTTCTTGAGCACTGTGACAGCCGTCCTGACTTGCAATCGACAGGGTCGAGTTCTCTCCCACCTGCGGAGAATGATGCGAACATCTAGGCACGTGTACGAGATTTTCGACATGTTTATCAGTGCAGGAGACGTCATGTTTCAGCTTTGTATCGGATCCCTTCTATGTGGTTTTGATTTTCAGTTTAGTAGTTAATTTGAAATTTGAATTGTGGGTTAGATTTGGTAGTTATTTAGTTTTAATATCTAACTGATTGTGAGAGATTTGATTGATTTTATGAGATTTCGAAATCTGTAATTTTTCTCTTTAAAACACCGCTGTAATCAGGTTTGAGGTATTGAAGAATTGAATGAAAATATTGTGTTAGCTTAATTTTTGGTGTGAACCTTCAAGGGTGTGAAACCCTAGGCCTATACTCCCTGTTTCTTCTCTTTTTCCCCAGTCGCCAAACTTTATTCTCTCCTCCACCTCCGACAACAACCACCTATCTCCCCCAACTCTAGTCTCGTCTTCCTCCCCAAACAACGCCGCCCTCCCTTCCTCCTCTGCCGGCGACGAGATCGAGCGTCGCCTCTTTCCCCACCTGCTCCTGCTCTTCCTCCACTGCCTAAACACTCCCTGCCCATCTCCTCCTCTAGCAGCCACCATCTCCTTCCTATCTCCGAACAGCCCCAGTCCCCCTATCCTCCTCTTCCTTCACCTGTGAAACCCTAGCCGCCAACCCCGTTCCCATCCCCTGCTCTCTTCTTCCCGCCCACAAGCGCCAACCCCTACTCCTTCCCCTGACCGCCCCCTCAGGCAGCCCGAACCTTAACGTCCCTCTCCCTTGCTATCCTCCCCGACGAGCAGCCCCTGCTAACACCGATAGTTCCGTTCACTTGGCTCTCCTGTCATTGCTTTCGTCGTTCAGTTCGACAGCCGTCCGCCAGCCCGGAGCGCCGATCCAGTTCGCTATAGTCCGTCTCGCTTCATCGTCGTCAGATCTCTGCATTGTTTGTCGCCGAATCGAGTCTGATTCCGCGACCCATTGGTGCATGGCCGATCCTGCAGCCGAAAACGCCCAGTTCGTGTACGATCCAGAGACCGGCGCTCTCGATTGGAAGCTTTCCCAGTGGTTTGATTATCAGTCCCTCGACACCCCCGCAGACTACGTGGATCGTGTGACTCCTCAGATTGCTGATAGCGTGGAGACTCGTTTGTGAATCAGTTCGTGACACCGACGCTTCCACCTAGACGCACCATTTCACCCTAGTTATGTAGCTCTCGGAGGAGAACTTCCTCCCCTCATATTCGGCGTCGTCACACCACCTCTAGAGATCCCTCATGTCGAGCCTGTTCAAATCGATAAATGTTTCGTTTTCTTTCGACCCAATATTTTAGGAACTGCTAACACATGCATGTTATTATCAATTTTAATACCAATTGTTATTGTGATGTATTATACATTTATACTTGACTAGTGAGTGAGTGACTCTGTTTGCCACGTATATCTACTGATCTAAATATTACAAGTCGAACTTTATTACGAGAATGAATCATTACATTTATTTTCTGAATAATTTACAAGGCTGTAAACTTAGTACAATGCAATCTTTGTTAAAAACCATCTAGAGCTTCACTTCCTTCTCGAGTTTCCTGCCTAAATCGATCGCTGATTTGGTGAAGCATTGTTTTCGCTGTTCTTCATACTTGCGTACATATTGTTTCACATCAAGAACTTTCCTTTTTTGTATAGCATAAATATATACATATATTCTGCCACATGGGTAATTATTGACATGAAGATTGCTTTTTGTCAATTTGAATTCCCAAGTTCAAGTGTCATGGCTTTCTGGTTATTGGTTGTGGAAACATATGTTTAGTTCATTGCTCTTGTTGGTGACATGATGACATATCTAGGATTTGACATTGATATATGTATGATGCATCTGTGTGTCCATGTTTTGGCCTTCCATTCTGTATAGTCTTTCTAATGTATATGAATATCTGAGTTAAACTAAGCAGCTAGAATGGTCCCTATTCTTGATTTATGTTTCAATTGCCGTCATATTCTGCAACATAATCACGTTTTAATTTCTTATGTTATTTTACTGTCTTAAGGGTTTGCCAAGGTTTTAAATATCGGATATCAGGGAAATATCAGATGATCAAAATCCATATTGGATTGTGTAAGGGGGAAATATCGGGGATATGTAGGAAATATCAATGTGTCATATTGAATGATATGCATATATAATACAATGTCCTAAAATGTAATCTAAATATTATATTTAGTGAAATCTAAGCATATAAAATGTAAATAACATATGTTTAGGGTCACTAACCAATTGTAGAAACTTCCTTGAGGAAAAGGTCATACTAGAATTTTGCTGAAAAAACTTCATAAGGCTAGAACTTTTGCTAAAATTCATTAAAGAAATTTTCCAGTATGTAATGTTTTGCAGCGAGGAATATAAAACGATATTTTGGCCAACATATCGGTTGACAAATAGGCTATGTCATGGATATATTACTCAAAAAAATTTTCAAAAAGCGGTAAAAGATATTGAGGTCATTATATCATCTTGCGGTAAGCCTTATAAAATATATCAGGCTATATCGGGAATATTTAAAACAACCGGTTCACTTAGTATCTTAAATATGTAGCGTAGTAGCTGTCAATTATATTCCTTCATTTTACCATGCATATATTACCATGCAATCCTTCATTTTACCGTTCAGAATGTGGCTGGCTATAGAGTGCAAATCTGTAGGATAAGGTTGCATAAACAATTTTACAAATAGTTGCCATGGGCTGTCAAGCTAATATGTTATTCCTGTCAAGGAATCTATGACTTAAGAGAGGCTTGGCGTAGAATCTATTTGGTCTGCTTACTTGAAAATGGCTGTCTCAAAAATCTTTTTAACTCATCAAAGAATGATGACCCAAAATGTAGGGATTGTCATTAGGAGTTCATCATGAAATTTAACTTCTATGATCCTATCCAAAGGAAGGAAACAACCTTTTAAGTTCACTGACCTTCTTGCCAGCTCATTGAGTAGTAAATTCCAATTTGGCAACTTGCGCTTTCATGTCTTCCTAGAACTTAGAATTGACAAATATTTGATTTATAGATTCTCTTATTTTGGGGTCTGCTCCAGATCTTTTATATACTGCATAGTTTGCTAAATTTGTTTTGATACTGGTTAAGTATAATCTCTTAAGACTATTGGAACAATAGATTTGCTTATTTAGTATATCTTCATCTGATGCAGGTGAGGCAGGCTTCCGCCACTGACAAGTCACCAAATGATGTGCCAACTGCTGTTCTTCTGCATGGAATTCTGGGTAGCAGGAAGAACTGGGGTAAGCTATAAAATTCGTGAGCTTCTTTCAGATAATATTGCTCTGCCAATCTGATTCGTCCATTCCCATGTTAACCTAATAAGCAATGTTATCGATAACGGATAGCGTCGCGTAGCAGTGAGACATCGCTAAGGCTATTTTGGGCTATTGCGGCAAAATAGCAGTAAAAAGCGCAAAATCAAATAGCGGTCTAATATAGATATGTATAAATACTAAAAAAAATTAAAGAAAAATCTAAGAAATCTAAAAGTACATATTGGATGATTTAAAGAGATCCTAAATATGAAATAAACATGTAACTATCACGTAATACCGAAGATGACCGGAGGAGTCAAAAAGTCGTCGTTTTCGAAAAGAAGAGCTTAGCGGTGACAGGACTGCCCTAAGAGGAGCTCACGATGAATGAGGTGAGAGGAAGTATCAAGGTAGGTGCCAGAGGCTATAAGAGGTGGCGGGAGTATGCTAAAAATCACAGGAGACGGTGAAATATAATGGTCAAGGGTTGAGTTTAATTTTTTTAAAAAAGCCTCAAACCGCTTTTAAATAGCTGTCAAAAAACAAATTTCGAATGCAATCGTTCATTATTTACCATTATGACACACTATTGACCGCTTTTGTGAACAGACATATTTCACAATATGTCACCGCTATTGCGCGATAGCGTAGCAGACGATAGCGCTGCGGGAAGGGACCGCTAACGCTATTAGCGCTGCTATTGCGGGGCTATTTACCGCTATTTATAACAGTGCTAATAACTAATTGATTCCCCACTTTTCATCTTTAACGTCAGGGGCTTAATTAAAAAATTGGTTTTCTGTATTTCAAGGCATAAGCGGATGTATGATTCTTTACTATGTATAGAAGGTTATTTGTGGTTGCTCCAGATCTTTCTTTTCTAGCTCTTGACAGCTAGGGCGTCAAACAATGTCCAATTGCAACACTTGAGTATACTTTAATAGGATGAATTTTTTGTTTTGCTTTGTTTGACTGGGAATTTTCAAAATATAGAAATGTGGGAATTGTTTGTGTTTCTTTGTGGAGAATTACTTTTGTCCAGAACTAATATAAATATAGGTTTCCATCATCCCAAATCTTTAAGCGATTTAGACTTTTTTTGGGTAATGGGAGAGATTTTAGAACTGTATTGCTAAACAATTTATGGTTTGGCAGGACAAAAATTATAGTAACTATACCGACGCTGCTACTTTCTAATGTTAAAAGTAAACCTACTAGGATCTCCATTTTATGAATCTTAATTCTATTGAGCATGAAACGAGAGAGATTCAATTTGAGATGATTTGGCCCGGTGCAGTGAAAGCCACTAGATGTTTTGTTAGAAGAAGCCATAAAATTACAACTTGATCCTGACAATATGCCCAAAAATAAAAGTCCTAGATAAGGTGGATTTCTAGATGACTGCCACACCTTTTATATTACCAATGTTTCGTTTGTTGAGCTTGATCGGTAAAGTGTAAATGGCCTATAAAACAAACCTTTGAAGGTAATAGCTTAACAGGAAACACCTACTCCACATACGTAGAAATGCGCGCACGTGCACACGTTACAGGAAAAAGTAGTATTGCATTATTCAGGTTTCCTTCCGCAAACTACCAGTCACTCTGTGCAATCCTATTCATGTGTAGTTATCCTGATTGTCAAAATTGGCAGTCCAAGAAATAAAAGAGAGAAAATGATTAATTGATTTGGCTAGCTTCTAAGATGTTTTAATCTAGTATTAGTTATTTTAATTGGTTTATTTTCAAGACTATACTATAGCTTTAAAATTTGTGTTTGGTCATTGAGTTTTTAATCTAATGGGTATTTTGGTCCTATCTTTTAACTAAAGTAGTTTGTTTTCTCAGCTTCAACAATATCAAATAAGGAGTTGCTTGTTGATACAAAAAGATGAAACGTTCCTAATATTGCAATACTTAATTGTACATGTCTTCAAATGTTTATCTGTTGCCTTTACATAGTTGTTTCGTGTCAATTGCATGCTCCTTTCCAATCATGAGCCTTATCCAATCAATCTGAAATTTCTCAGGATCTTTCGCAAAGAGGCTGGCTCAAGAGTTTCCCTTGTGGCAGGTACTTTATGGTGTTATTATGTTTAGGGACCATTTTCTTTCTTATTCTTCTTTTCTCAAGTCTTTGTCATTTCACCAATGCAGTTTCTTTTAGTTGATTTGCGTTCTCATGGTGATTCAGCATCAATTAGTAAGCGTGGACCACATACTGTTGCTGCAGCTGCTCTTGATGTCCTAAAGCTTGTAGGTTTATCTATAATGTTACTTCGTTTCAGTTGCTTTATGTTTGTAATTTACTTTATTCTTAATACTTAAAGAAGCGTGAAGCAAATTCTATTAACAACCTATGTTGAGATCCTAGGTCATACGTGCCCTCTACTAAAGTATTAAAGGTTGATGAAGTCATGGAGATATGCATTCCAACGCAATGTATAATATTGTGGCATATATGCTATATTTCTGCTATAGGACTACATTAGGAATGTAGGACAATTCTTTGTCTTTTCCAAAACTATCTAGGCTGTAGCATACCGGGGGTAAAGGCTTTTCCAGAATAAATAAACATCCCATACTGTTATTGAAACGGTCATTTTCCTTAAGTACATGCTTATGTTTTTGGTATGAGTTTCAATAATATACATGGTTTAGCATGCCCAACAGAATAATATAGACTTGCAATTTTATCGTTGATGTGTATCTGGCAAAAAACAGTGGGAGCTTGTTTTCCCCGAGAAAGAACCTCATCTCATATGTGGAGTTAACGAGTCAAAAAGAGCTTTCTGAGCATGTATTAGATATATAGGTTATTTCGCATTTCAAGAACTTGTTGGAATGTTTCCGTATATCAATTTGATGTTTACTTCAAGGATAATCACCAGTACTTTGTTCTGTTTCCTGTACAAGCTTCTGCTGATCAAATGTTAGTTTAACGACAACAGCAGCAATAAGAAAGAGTTTATCACAAACTTTTGGGCATGTCCATGAGTTTTTTCCCTTGCAACTCAATGAAACCTGTCCGCTGTCAAATTTGTATCTACCATGTCTTTTTGATTCCCTCATATGACGATTGCTTTGATCTAGAACTAGAAGCTTCCGCAACCAAAGTTGTACCACTTTTGAGCTGCACACTAGTCCATCTCTTTAGTACATAGCCACATAATCTATTCTCCACCTTGTTGTCAACTGGATCTACTTTAATATTTACAAATGCACTTAATTTTATCTTGTGTTCTGTTGCACTGCTGTTCATCCACCTCTGCACTCTCATTCATCTACATTTTTAAACATGATTCTTAATTGTCTATATATTCCAGACCACGAAACAGGGGCTTGTCTGTGTCTTGGATTTCCGTCCATCAGATTCAGCTTTTAATTCTCTTACATTTTACCCATAAATAAATCATGTAAGAATTTTATATTTTAGTTTATGATGACCAAGTATTATCTGAGAAGTATTATTATCTCCACTGACATTGTTATCAAGAAAATCTAATTGAACGATCATCTGGATAGATTACCCTTGGAGCACAGGATTTAAGGTCCTCCATTTATCAACTGTTCCACCAACCTGTATGGCTGCATTTGTTATCTTTATCTTTGTCTTTATATATTGCTCCTGTTTGATTTTAGTCAACTTAGGCTTCCTTGATGTCTTTTGGTTATTCGAAATGTGCATTGAGTTTACAGATCACCATCCCTTTCCTTAGTTATGGCTATATGACGGACATTTACATGCAATAGGTTGGACAACTCAAATTAACCCCAAGGGTATTGGTTGGTCACAGCTTTGGTGGCAAAGGTACTTTCAGGTTCCTATTACAGCCTGAATATATTATTATTGATAATAAACATCTTTTGTTTTGACATTGTGTTGTAATGTAACTCGTTATAACTTGATAATCATCTTATTTGTAAATCTGTTCAGTTGCCTTGAGTATGGTGGATCAAGCTGCAAAACCTCTTGCACGACCTGTTAGGGTAATGTTGCATTTATTCTGTGCATGGAAAATAAATTCCATCTAATGTTTGATTCATTGGCTTCACTAGTTTAAAATTTTCATTTTTTTATCTATTTGCTTGTTTTCTTCTTTGAAGGTTTGGGTCCTAGATTCTACACCTGGCAAAGTTCGTCCCGGTGGCAGTGGTGAAGATCATCCTGGTGAATTGATTGAGTTTCTAAGTAAATTGCCTAGGGAGGTAACTGTTCATCTGTGAATCAGCCTCTTTTGTATGTAAAAAGGAAAGACTTTTTATTCCAGTTGCCATTTAATCTGAGTTGTTTCAAATTATCCTTGTTTATGGACAAGCATATCTCATTCTTAAATATTAGTTACATCAGCCAACTTCTAGCATCTTTAGCTTTAAAAGTTTGAATGAAACAAGATGGAATGTTAGATAGAGAAGTAGTTGTAGAACTGGGACAGAGGAGATGAAATGAATTTAAGTTAAAGGGTTACACCACTTGAGAATCTAGATATGTGATTCCATTTGATGGTTTGCTGATTTTGTGCTGCATTATGAATGGCTGCCATATGAATTCTTCACAATCTACAAAGACCAATAGTCAAAATAGCATTTTACTTCAACCATATAAACATACTACATGAATACAGTTAGGTTAAGTTGCATGGAAATGGGTACTGGTACGGGTGCATACGGGACCCGACAACATTGTAAAATGTAGGGTACGGGGACACGACAAATATATATATTGAAAGTAATAATTTACATGAGATACATTATTGTTATTCACTTCATGTGTCATTAGAACTAAAATTCCTACAATATTTTTAAGTTGCTTTTATTATATTGACTATGATTATTATGAAATTGAAAACTACTCATTTTTGAACTAGACATCCAAACAACCCTTTCAATTTATATTTTTTTAACTTGGGTATGGGCTGAAACGAACCCGGCTCATATTTGACTAGTCTCAAGAAATGGATGTGAAGTAAGCTATATGTCTAAGAAGGGTTTTGATAAGTATTTAAACTAAAACACGGTTCATACAATTGAGTATGTGTCATAATAAATGTATGCATATACTCAAGTGTCCATGAAGTTTGGGTTCGGGAACATGTCCGGTATGTGTCGGGTACGGGTACAACTTCATGATAAGAAAAGGTGGAGGTGTGCTGGAATGCGTTCATCTATGTATCTCTGTCATGATTGGATGACTGTTGATGATGATGCTTACCGGAGTTATCTCAAACAATCATTATTGCAGCTTGTGCTCTCCATGTGCAGCTTTTGCTCGATGTCTTTAGCTATTGAAAGGTGCAGATTGATCCCTTTGAACTGGGCAACTGTGGACTGTATCCAGAGGCTGTCTAGGATTTGGTGAACATTACGAGGCGTGCCCTGCTGTATAGCATCCTCAAATGCATCTTAGTTCTTTGATGTCAAATTTGCTAACTGCTATCATTCTCTAGTCATGGTTTCGTCCTAAATAATGACTTTAGTCCTATGCCCAAGGATTGTTGAGATTCTTGAATGGCTTATGTCAGAAAGCTTCGTTAATAATAGTTATAGTAATGATGATGATAATGATTATTATTTCTTTATATGGAAACATAGAAATCAAGATATCAGTGAAACCAGGTCCTGTTCAGAACCCAGGGAGGGCACTGTGGTTCCATTAAGCCAGACATGATTTGTTCAAAATATTTTGTCTGTGCGTTGTCTACATTTTAGGAAATTAACTTCAGAAGAACTGCGTGAGAGGAATATCTATGCTAGATGGTTGGGAAATTTGAATAAATAATATTGTTGTTATTAAGTGTTATGAATATCTGGCATGATCTTTACAATGTGGGTCGTATTCAATTCAAGAAAATCGTATATATTTGGACAGCCTTTTGCTGAAGCCCTGCTAGTTTCCTATGAATTCATCTACATTACAGTTGGAGTTTCAAGGAGGGTTTCATAATTGATGGTCAGGAAAGCTGTTTTTAGGTTTCTAGACTGGTTAAGGTTCCTCAGTTTAGGAAGTTCTCTAATATTATGTTACTTTCTTGCTTATGGTTCTTGCGTTCAAATGTATAATGTTCAACCGACTAATTCCAGTTGTTATATTCTTGAGGTTTTAACTTGACATAAGTAACTTGTTGGTAGTGTCAGATCCAGAATTTCTGGAAAATGGTATCACTACATAACTAATAGCTTACAAATTTTACAATTGTCACTGTTGAGTTTTCATACTTTGAGAAAAGTACATTACAGTACATTTGAATCTCAATCTCATAATTTATGAGTAATATGTTCGCAGCTTGAAGCAAAGCCTGCAATTTGACATCCCAGTTTACATTGCAATTCATCAATTAACCAATTTTTTTACAAGATATATGTGTCAGTAGAACATACCAGTGAAGAGAAACCTACATACTACAATCACTACCAACTAAGTGTAATATCTCACTAATACAGAGTCCTAATCTTTGCCTATGGTATGGGGGTCTTGGAGCATAGTGGTGTCACGTGACACCACCATGCTCAAGGTGGATCCACCTCTGCTTGTTGGACTTGTTATCTCTCACATGTTTGAATTTCCATAAGATAACTTGCACACTAACATATCACATAAAGACCCAAAAAACTCAAGCATATTTGGTGTTGGTTGCAATTTCCACACCATATAATAGAAAAAGAACTTATACAGGGTCATTTTAACTGTAGAAACAAGACAATAGTGGTGGTATTCATGCCAGGATCAGGGTAAGTGCACTTTGAAAAATTTGTAAACCCAGTAAGTCATGTTCGTCAAAAAGAATCTTAAAATGTAGTTAATTTGAAGAAAAGTAATAATATTAGTCACAGAGTTGACTTGATAAAGCCAGATAGTAACTCAACTTGTAGATGTATCTCTGAGCATCAGAAAGCTTCTAAATGTGTATAGGGGAAGAAGAGAATGCAAGAGAGAGGTTTTGAGACAATGGGTAATATGCCTTGTTAAATCTTTCTACTATAGATTCTTTCCCATTTTTCTTTTTATTTTCTTTTCATTTTTAATGAAATGGTTTTTCTATCTGTGTCATTCTGTATCTTCATCTACTTCGCTGAGTTATGAAAAGTAAAACCCCCTTTGTTTAGTCCAAATCATTCTGTGTTCTTGTTTTCTCTGTAGTCACAAGTGTCACCTGATACTTCAAGCGAGATAAGAAAGCTGGTCCACAGATTTTTTTTATAGAATTTCCAAATTTGTCCAACCTGTTGATGTAGAGAGTAAATTTTCATAATCCTGATTCATTGTGCAGTTCAAATGAAAAAATTCCTAAAACTTCAGAAAATAGTACCTAGTTTACTTTTAGAACAGTATGCTTGTGCATTCCTCCTATATAACCATGGTTTTCTTGGCAGATTTCCTCAAAGCAGGAAGTTTTGAATTCTCTTGTTCAACAAGGATTCTCTATGGATGTTGCTCGGGTATGTGTTTAGCAGGATTTTTCGTTGATTTTGTTGAACTTGAATCTGTTTCTTGACATAACATATATAAGATGCATTGCCAATGTGAGAGGATCATGTTTTCTTTGATTGTACTTTGGGATCACCTTATGGAATTTTTAGACTAGGCACCTAACTATTTGGCCTGTTATATTTCACATCATATATGAACATAGATGTGAAATTTGTATTTTTTGACAGAAAGGATGTGTTAGGCATGGAAATTTTGCCCAAAAAACAGCCGCGGCATGACTGCATACATGCATATTTGATATACTTATCTGTATGATCAAGTTTTCATTTATAAGAAAACAACATTCGAGTGAATAATGAAAACAATCAGTTTAGATAGCTTCTTAATTAGAGTATATTTCACTTGAAATGTGATATGTATTGGATGCTTGTTTGTACACTAATATACTTAATTTACAACATTCAAGCTGACACGTATGTATTTCACTTGATAACAATAACTATTTACTTATATGTACATTTCACTATTTAAAACATGATAGCATATATAAGATATTTGTTTGTACAGTAATATTCAAGCCTTAAAATCAGTTGATTTCACTTGAATACAGCCTTATGCTTATACATAGACAAAAAAATTTCTAATACATAGTAGTATATTACTAAGTCAACTACTCTTATAGCTCACTCAGGCTTCTAATCAAACACAAGGAGGAAAATTTACACACTCATTGACAATAGTTAGTTCTGTGCTTTTCTCTTCATATTATTAAGTGTAAGCAACTAAGCATATTTCCTTAAGACAAGCTGATTCTAGATTGTACAGCGGGATCTTATTCCAACTTTGTTTCCGGACAAATGCATTGACACCCTTCAGTCACCCACATGGCTTCTCTCCTGAGTTTGGTTACTTTGGTGTACCAATAATAAAGCAACTAAAGAGAAAAAGTAAATTGTTGAAGGAAGAAAAATCGATATAAATGAAGGCAGACAAGTTAAGGAAAATAGCTGATGATGTAAACAAATCAAAACTGTATGAAATCTCACAATGTGAATGAAGGGGAGGATAAATACAGAGCTGAGAGGGAGCAAGGAAATATAAGAGTTGTTTGGGTGTGAGGGAGAGAGAGTAGGGAAGTTGGTCTGATCATCAGCAGGGAGTCAAGGTTTCCTTTTTTCCTCCTTTCTTGTTTGGTCTAGTGTCAAACTGGTGTTGTGATGAAATCAAGGTTGACTTAGACATTAGCAATTGTTGAAGCATTACACACATGCTATCTTTCCTCTACTGATTTTTTTATAGTGGTTATTATTGTTCCTTTTTTTGTGAGATGCATGTGTTCTCTTTGCTAACCTTTTTGTAGAAGCTATACGGAGCTCTTATTCTTGAGTATAATGAACTAATTTGGTACTTTATCCTGTAATTTATGTGTCATAAACGGACATATAATATGTATTCTAACCCTAAGAGAGATGTGGATGTACATAGGGTTCTACTAGAACAATTATGTATTTGTTACTATGCAACTGTTAACCTGCTGACTAGAAATATTTCATCAATTTAAACTTTTCCAAAAAGTTATCATCGGAAACCTGAGTGACTTCCGTGTAATTGGGTCCCTGATTGACAAGAAGAAAAAACAAAATTGTGATCTAGTATCTAGTTCAAGAGACCTAGAGAAGAGAGTTGATTAATTGACCTAACTCATTCAAACAGTATGTCATGCAATGGAGCTAGATGAGGTGTGATTATATTGGTATGTAAATCATGCAACTCAAATTCGTTCTGTGTAACTTGATTGGATTTAACAACTTGCCTATCTTTTCCTTTAGCATCTTTTTTGTCACTTCTATTTATTAATTCTTAACCATTTAATTTTAGTATGCTGACTAATAGAAAACAAACATTTTGCGAAGATGATAAAAGAACTTATCAACTACTTGTAGTTTGGAGTTTTTTGCTAGCTGTGGATAAAAGCATTAGCTTTTAGAATTTGTTGGAATTCTGAGAATACAATTGCAATTTAGAGTGTTCCGTATCTCTTGATATCTTCTGTTTTTTTGTCGTTTTCTCAGTGGGTTGTTACAAACCTCCGACCAAGTAACAATACTGGGTCATTATCATCACGAGGGTTCTCATGGGTCTTTGACCTTAAGGGTATTGCAGAGATGTTCAAGTCCTATGAAGAAACAAATCTCTGGTAAGCCTAGTAGACTACAAATTTCAAATTGGAAACCTGATCATTGAAAGTTCTCCTCCCAGTGACATTTCTTCCAAAATGGGCAGGAAAATTGTAGAGAATGTGCCTAGAGGAGTGCATGTCAATTTCTTGAAAGCAGAGAGAAGTTTACATAGATGGGCTCTAGAAGATCTTCAAAGGATTCACGCTGCAGAGGAGCTGGCATCAGATGAGTCAGCTGGTGTTGAAATGCATGTGCTTGAAGATGCTGGACACTGGGTAAGTATACAAGATTGGACATAATAATATGTTGATAGTTGCTTTACATTAACAGAAAGACTGCATACTCACAATTCGTTATCATTTTGAAACTGTACATCTAACAGTGGTGCCGGCTAAACATGTTCCCTAACAGATCGATTTCTTTGGACAACTTGTAACTATCTGTCAACCCCTTGAAGTTTCTGCCGCTCAAACAAGAAAACTATTAATAATAGACCCCAAGTGAGTCAGTTAGATTGGCGTGTATCACTTTCTTAAGTAGTGGGTTTGATTCTCTAAATGCAGTGATGGCATCCCAACAAGCTTCCTCAAATAATTGACTACATTTGTTTTTGTTTTCATGTTTCATGCACAACAAGAGATAATCTATGTTGTCTAGATACTTCTAGTCTGGCAGCCATACCCGACACGTATCTGTACCCATACCGAAACTTATTGGACATTTATTGAATATAGGCATACATTTATTCAAGCGTACACTTAATTTTATAATACATGTTTTAATTTAAAACACTCCTCATACGCTTAACTGGACGCGCTACACTTCACATCTATTTCTTATATATTGATCATATGTATATGAAAAAACAAATTAATATTATGTAAATTATTAATTTTAAAATATATAAATACACGTAACATACATATATATAGTTGTGTCCTCATGCTCTACCTTTTTTACAAGTTTATTATACCTGTACTCATGCAACTTAGGAGATAATTGATATTTCATTGACAACAAGAGATAATCTTTGATCTATTTCTCTATTAAGAAATCGTTGTTGATTAACCATTTGGGAAAACATTCCAAGGCTTAAGAAACACCAAGTTTTTGGGGAAAAAAAGATATCAACTTAGATTTGATCTTCTCGAGAAAAAACTGTGTGTTTAATTTGAGAGATAGATTCGATCCTCGTTTTACTAAGTCAAATCTCATCAACTCTTGTTCAGTGATAAGTCTATTATGATTGCATGAATTTTCGTGAAGAAGTCTTTAATACCATAAAAACATGATAGATTTAGATTTTACAAAACATTTTATGGAATTTATATTTGAGAGGTACCCATGAATAATCTAATCAACGTCATAATATCGATCATAAACAACACAATGTACTAACTAAAGCAAGTAAATTGACATGCAACCAAATGAAACTAATATTATCATTGATAGACCATGGATTAGATGTGAATCAGAACAATAATTAAAAAAATCAAGCAAGAAACACTTATCTTAAGCTAGCTCTACTTAAGCTCCCCCCCCCCCCCCCGCCCCCCCAAACAAAAAAAAATTGTAGGTAGCAACTAGTAACCTTAAACATCCAATAAACTTACTATTTGTAGTCGAACTCTAGGATTCAGTCTTATACAGGTATACCGTTATTAAAATAAATCTCTGTTATGCACCTTTTAATCATTGGAAGTTACCCCAATAAATCTCAGGATATTAATTGAATTTTGTACTAAGATCATATAATCTCAGTTTCACACTACTTAATTTAATTTTGATATGAAGTAATGCAAAAAAATGTGACAAAATTTCAGCATGCGCTATTCAATGTCAGTTGTAGTTTCATACCTTGGTGTGATTCTCTTTCTTTCTAATTTTTTTCAACTCTTACTAACAAAGTCTCCAACTAATAATTTTAAGTTACTAAACTTTGGCTAGTATTTAATGATGAATTTTTGAGGATTTTGCTTTGGGTAGCAAAAAAAAAAAAGGAAGACAATGAAGAAAAGAAAAAAAATGAAATGAAATGTTCTTCATTTCTCTACAATAAATCCTAGCTAGTAGTTGTTTAGGAGGTGAACGAGAATGGTGTTTGCCACCAGGGCTTAGAGATTGACACCTCCTAGGTATTATATTTAGTTAACTATACATTCTAGTAAGCCTAGTTAACATATAACTACTCTGCTTAGCCACAAAATTTATTCCTATCAAAGTTGTATGAGTACATGTGCAGGTATGAGACACGACAAATTTGTAAAAGGTAGTATGGGGAGACGGCTAAAACTTATGGGATATAATCATAGTTCTAAGCTATATATGTAAATGACCTTTTAAATTGTAGCTCTTTTAGCCTGAAACAAACTAGTCTACTCGACCTTTATCCAACAAGTTACAAAAATGGATGTGAAGTTTAGGATATATATCCAAGAAGTTTATGATAAGTGTCTTAAATTAAACATGCATTGTATAATTGAGTACAAGTTTAGATAAATTTGTGCATATATTTAAAGAGTGCCGAAGAAGTGTAGGGTACGGGTATAAACGTGTCGGATACGGTTATGGTTCCATATTAGAAGTACCCAAGTAACATACCTATTAATAAAAAAATAAAAGTCTAGCAACATAGTTACTCATTCCTTAAATTATCTCCTTCAATTTAATTATGGATTCTAACTTTGTATTTGACAACCTCAAAAGATCTAAATGGTATACGTAAACTCTTTGAACATTAGATTCAACTAAACTTACCTTACCGAAATGCCAAAGAAGTAGTGGAATCAGTTGCGTCCTTAGAGCGAGCAAGGATTAAACAAAGCCCATACTTCCAGTCTTGGCTCTAATCGTCCTTTCATGCTCTGGAAAAGCAGGGTTCTTTGCCTTCATGTTCTTGAGATCAATTTTATCTGGCATTATAAAAGGGTGGTATCTCTAGAAGACTTTTGTAATACGTATGGTTTGCTTAAAACTAATGATATGCTAAAGAATTTTTAGAGTTGATAATGATATAATTTTAGATTTGGAATCTAATTATTTATTTATAGACCATTATTGGAAGTATATATTTATAGAGGATATTGGAGTTAGGTTTCACGAGTTCCATTGATAAGAGAATTTGTGTTTAGTTGTCACAATTCTTAATTTGATAATTTTATTTATATTTATCTTGATTATGGGCATGACAATAATAAGATAGGAATAAATTGTGTGGCTAAGTATAGCAGTTATATGTTTACTAGAGCTAATACAAGGTTTCATTAAGATAAAGAAATATGACACCTAGCATTTAGCTGCCAATCTCTAAGCCCTAGTAACAAACACTTGTCATCCTCCACTAATCTAGGATTCATTGTGGAGAAATAAAGAAGACTTCATTTTATCTCTATTTCACCTCCATGATCTTCCACTTTGTTTGATTACCCTCAAAGCAAAAATCCAAAAAATATACTATTACATACTTCACAAAATTTCAGCAAATTGAAGCTAGTGATTGGAGACTTCACTACTAAAAGTTGAAAGAAATTTAGAAAGAAAAGGAATCATATCACGATATGAAATTAAGTAGTGTATCTTGAAAAATAGTCAAAATTTCCTTTCACTAATCTATATTAATACTAAATTAAGTAGTGTAAAACTGGGATTAGATGATTCTTAATTGAGATATCGTACAAAGTATGACTGAAATTTAGTTAATGATCGAGATTTGTTAAGGTTAATTTGTATGGGATGTAAAAGTGTAGAATAGATATATATTTTAATGATGGGTCTACGTAAAACACTATGAAATCTAACGAATTTAGCTCCAACATGAGAAAAAAAAAGATCTCTGCGTAACTCCCATTTAGCTGGTAAAGTTTTAGAAACATACAATATGATTTGGACATAAGTATATCACTAATCAACGTTCAACTTCTATGAATAGAAAATAGCTGTAGAAAAAATTAGTGTATTGATAAGTATATATTTTTCTATATAAGTTGTATTGATGATTCGTTTTACCGTGTGGCCTCCCCACACTTGGCTCAATAAGGCTAAAATTTTAACTTGCTCATAAAATTCTTAAAAAATTCCATTAAACCCGAAAAATATGAGGATTATTTTCTTTAACTAAATCCAAGCCAAATTCCACCCTAAATGGGTAAAAAGATAGAATGCCATCAGAATCACGTTAAACATATATTCAATGGTCTCAGGTGACATCAAAATGTGCACCATATACATATTATATGAATTGAGGCCATTACATATACATTAATGGGCTTTAATCTAATCCTACGATTAGAAAGTTTTGTCACGATTTATGTACTTTCACTTTCTGATTATTTATGCATTTATCTCGTATGTATTTATCCACATCCATTTCCCTCACACCTTTCCCTTATCCATATCAAGTTTAATGAATTAGATTTAAGGTTTCCTTATTGAATTGTATTCGTAACAGTCTAAGTTACCCAGGCATTTTATCTAGGCTCTCGTATCTGTGTCCGACACTTATCGTATCTATGTCTGTGTTGACACTCTTTGGACACTTCTTGAACATATATAGATATCTATTCAGACATGTACTCAATTATAGGACACATATTGAAGTTTAAAAAAAATACTTATACACTTCTTGTACGTAAATCGTAGACTTCGCCTCAAATTTATACAACTTGTTGGACTAGGAATGTGTTTGTTTTAGCACGTACTTGGTTCATAAGTATGATTTTAAAGGGTTGTTTGGGCATCTCGTTCAAAAACGAGTGACTTTTCAATTTATGATATACTCCGTAAAAGAAACATCAAAATGGTGTAAGAATTTTAGTTCTCATAACATGTGAATGAAAACAATATCGATCTCATATAGATTATTAGTTTTAATATATATGTCTGTAGCCGTGTCTCTGTATACTACCTTTTACAAATTTGCTGTGTCTGTGTCCGCACTCGCCGTGCAACATAGGTATCAATATTTGGATTTAAAATGTATATGGATCTGATAGCTGTCATTATCTTATTTATATCTGATGTTTTGCATGATTGCATCCCAATGCATGCCAAATATTAGAGAGGTTAGGCAGGCTCTCTAAGAGGCACAAGTGCTGTCGTTTGCATCCATATGATAAAACAAGGACTGAACATTATCAGGTTGCCTTCAAAGACCAATTAATGAGAAAAAATATATCTTAATTGGTTATCAAATTTAATTGTACACAGAAAAAAGCAAAGCTTAAGATAATTACATGTCCAGAAGTGGGAGAATATGGTAGATTTGTTATAGGGAATATCAATCTTAGAAATAAAGACAGGATCTACAGAGCAGCTCATTCACAGCTTTGCAACTGTATGTCAACTCATGCAAATGTCATATCATGTTAATTGAAAATGAGGATCAGATTATATTCGACTTGAATTATGTTTCATATAGTTCGAGCTTTCCACTTCTTCTTAAACAGATGATAGGACTTCAATGATATTCACAAATATGTCTTTTTTAATTTCTATTTGACTTGAATTAAGTTTCATATAGTTCGAGCTTTCCACTTCTTAAACAGATGATAGAACTTTAATGATATTCACAAAAATGTCTTTTCCAATTTCTATTTGCTGCAACTTTCAACAATGTGATAACATGTACCTGAGTACTTTGGTCATTGGTATTTTCTCATTGAAAAATTATAGGTAAAATATTTCTTGGATGAACATGATTTAACTGACTTTTAAATATAATCTGCATTTACTTGTTTCTCATTTTCATAGGGTTTTCTCTAGAACTGTAAATTGATATTATAGGGAGCAGATAATACACAATTTTAATTCTATAAAACTTTGCATCAGAATGTAAAAATCTTAAACTGAAGAACCATGAAAATTCTGTATATATTTTATATTTGTTGATATAGATATGATTTAGATATTCCCAATACCTTGAAGCGAATATGGCTACTATCAGATGGAAATTTGGCAAGAAGGTGCAAGGACATGGAGTTACAGCTCATAGGTTGACAGAATCTTGGGGTCACATAGAAATTAGCTGAATCACTTATGATCATGTATGATCATTCTCCTTTTTGGAAGCCCTAATTACTGCACCGAGTGAATTTGATATTTGATGTTGAAGGTTTCCATTCTCCTTCTGTGCCTGTATTTGAATGTCTAGATCGGGGTTCAAATAGAAATGCTCTATTAGGCACTAGTTGAAAATACTTGATATATAATGAGCTTGGAGTCTCAGTTGTCAAGAAGCAAGTTAAGAAAAACTAACACAGCTATAGGATTGGGTTATATGCTGAAATGGTATCAAGACCGCAATGATTAGGGTTGAGAAGTTGAGTTTGCTGATAAACATATTCATACCTGCACCAGATAACATTTGTAGTACTATACTATCTCTGAGAATGTCTACTACATTTTGAGTGTATCTATGGAGATAGTTGTCCTAATTTGAACTTGACTAAAACATCTCTTAGGCAATCTGACTCCAATGCCCTATGTTTCTTGAAAGTGACTCATTTATTTAACCAATGTACTTGCACCATCAACCAAACTGGGAGCAACATCGCTTTACATTAGCCATATATTATCTTTTTGCTATAATCGCAAGAAAGAATCATTGAGTTTTTGTTTCATTCTCTTGCTTCGATCTTTCAGGTGCAGGCTGACAACCCAGATGGTCTATTTAAATTCCTCTCAAAGTCCTTCCGATTCAGGCCACAGTTCTAGTGTATTTATATGAATGAAGTAGAGGCAATGACTCCCAAGAAAATTTTGACAGAAGAGACGCTGATATTTTTCTGCTCAAAGATTGATTATTTTCCTCCTCTGTATAGGGAAAACTGCAAGGATTTCTCATTCATTGATTTTTTTTTTCCATTGTATTAGTTGCGGTCCATTTTTTGTGCCCCCCTCGAGACTCTATGGTATTGTTCTAACATTGAGCTCATTAAGCAAATAGAGGATGTAGAGAGCTGTAAGAGGTACATCCTCTGCTATTCAAAGGATTCAATTCATGTGAAGATGTTACACTGCCCACTTTGTATCTAAGAAAGCTGTAAATGCATTTGCTTTGCGTCAGGTCAGTATGAAGTATGGTCATACAAGTGTTACATCTTCCAATTCGTGCAGTTTGTTTTCATATGATCTGAGCTAGATTATGTTAATTTTTAGGATTTTGGGACTTGATTCTCTGCCTTATTTCAAACAGTACATGCACACTCCAGAGAGGGAGGGAGGATTTAATGAAATTAATTCAGTGGGGATGTACTAGTGAATTTGTTGTATGTACGAGAAAAAGCACCAGAGGGTTTTTCTGTTTTAGATATAATGCCTTGGCTAAAACCAAATTCTGCAACATATACGCACAACGAGTGAAGAGCTTTAGCTTTTTGATGCATAAACTTCATAGTTGAGCATGTCAAACCGATCGAAGGGTTTCTATTTAGGATAGCGCTCTTGTCATAAGCTTTGGGGATTTGCGCAAAACTCCAATAATATTATCAGTGAAAAATCATGAACTTTAAACACTGAAAATATCACAAAATTTTATAAATTTGTTGAGAACGATGTTAAGGACTTTGGTAAAGGTCCAAACTATCTTGGGCTTAGGAGGAGAGGACAACATCGAAGATGTATGAAGTACATGAGAAGAAAATTGTCCAAACATGTCACAATGTAGCACATAATAACCTACCGTCATCAAACTGTCATGGAAACATGGTAGTTTAGCGTAAAATTCATGATAGTTTTTCTCTAGTAAGACTACTTCTTAGAGTGCCCTGCCTGCGTCCGTTTCTTACAAAACTATGCTTATCGATCACACACTATTAGACTGACACAGTCTACGTGATAAATTTCCATATGCTCTCCAGTCATAAAATCAACTGTAAGGAGAGTCCAATCATCCATAACCTCCAAAAATAGCTAAAGCATATAATCTTTATTCAAACACTCACATTAAATCAGTTTTTCTCAGTTCACCATACTCTGCATCAGACACACCAAGAACCATAAAAACAACCAATCTAAACGCAAATCAAACCTCTACTCCATCCTCCTAGGAGAGACAGAAGCAAAAGATCCCTGAGGAGAGGCCGCTGACGCAAAACCCTGAGGAGCAGGGAGAGCCTTACGAGGCGGCGGCGGCTCGAGAGCCAATGGCCTTGTGGTGCCAGAAATATAGCCCTTTCTTGTGCCTTGCGCAGTGAAGAGGAGGCGGAACGTCCATCCGAGGACGTCGGGGACGAGGACGCGGTAGAGGAGGAATATATCATACCAGCTTGGGTGCTTTACGTATGCGTTGCCTTTGCATGCACCCGAGACTAGGAGCTTTGCGTATTCTTCAACTTGGCTGCTTCCAATGGGTACCTAAAATATGAATGTAACAGATGTATTTGTAATTTCAAGTACTCTGTTATGTACTTTCAACTCCCGTGGTTGGATTACTCTCCACTGTGAATGCAACCATAAGTCCAAACATAGTGAAAAGGAATTTGTATGCTTTTTGAAGAGGGAAGTAATTGCATAGTTTATTCATTCAAAAGTACCTTCTAGGTTATAGTTCAAGCTTTCAATGCAAAAAGGCTTAGATGGGTGTTGACACCATGAGATACAAAATTCCATGAATCACATGGTAATAAATAAGGAAAAAAATTACAAAATTGAATACATTCATCGATACTATGTTTTTTGCAGGAAAATAGCATTATTTATTAAACTTCACAAAAAAGCTTAACCTACATAAATTTGTTGTGACATTTCCATGTTTGATTATGAATAGGTTATTTATCAGAAATATTTTCAATTACACGACGACATATTCTTACCATATATAATATTATTTCCTGCAAAATAGGACAGAAATAAGAAGTTCTTTTTCTAGTTTTCATAACAATGATAATATAGTAGTAGTATTAGGTCTACTTTTTGAAGAAAATTGCCGTAAACAAACGGAAGTGTGAGAAATAAAAACAACAAATCCTTGTGGTCACACTAGTATAAATTACGTGTAAAGTCTTACCCTTTTTATCGTGCAACATAACCGCAGAAGATTAAAAACAAAGCATACGATTTAATTACCTCTCTATCTTCCCTCCATTGCATTTCTGCTCCCTCCTCAAGCATAAACCTCCCACTGCTCATCTCACTACCAATCCATCCGTGAGTTGCTATTGTGATTCCGACATCATCTTTCACTTCAAACCTCAGTGTCTCATAGAAGTTGATCACAGCTGCCTTTGCTGCCTAACAAGTAAACAAAAAGTTTATATATTAAGATTTGTATTAAATACATACACTAAATGGGATTAAGCAGAAAAGGACTTGAGTGCCCCATTGTTACGCACAGCATAAAGGCTCATCCTCGGCATAGGCAACCAGCTCTCCACAGATGCGTTAACAACTATTCTCCCATGGCTTTGCCTCAAGAAGGGCAATGCAACATACGTAGGATATACATTGCCCCAAAAATTGATATCCTGACGCAAAAATTAATGGTATACGTTAAAGGTAAATTGACGAAATTTGATTAAATAGTGAATATTTGACTCATTTCTTTTTCTAGAAGTTGATATCCTAGTAAAGAAATTGATGTAAGATATCGAATTAAAGTCATGATTTTGATTGGTCTTGTTTGTTTTTTAAGTAGCATATATATTGAAGAAATGTATTTCTTTCCTTCGGGAGATATGTTGTTGATTAACCCTATTCTTAACAACATTGCATTATCGAGAAAGAAAAGAGGATTTTATAAGAAATGAAAGGTATGTTTTGCAACTAACATACCATGAGATGTGGGAACACTGAAGTATCGATAGCATCCTCAAAGAAGAAGCTGTGTCCAAGGCTCGCAGTGTTGACAAGATGATCCACTTTCAGAAGCTCCATCAAGAAGAAATAAATTGAATTAAGGACTTGATAACACGTTGTAGCTTAAGAAAGTTTTGTAAAATTAATAAACGTGCCACATAATAGCTGAAAGTTTCCCTTGAATATTTTTACTCTCGACATTTTAAAAGCTGAAGACTATATAACAAACTTACGAAATCATGCATGATTTTTCTGGAAATATATGCAATTATTAATATGACTGTGAGTTACTTAGACCATTTATTATCTGTTAATAAAGTAAGGCTACTTTCAAAAGTTTGGAAGTTAAGAGGAATTTGGCTAGGATGAAAGATTTAAAATGGCTACAGCTTCTCTTAGATAGAACAAGATAAAGCCCATAGAAGAAAGAAAACTGTGAACTTTAAAGGTCAAAGTGTTTTTTTGTCCCCATTAGTTAAAAAAACTAATTAAACTAATAAACAAGGGGCAAACATTACTATTAACATTTACAGTTTTCAACCTCTCATAAAGCTTAAAAAAAGCATCAGCATGCTTAATTGAATAAGCAATTAATTAAGATGATAGAGATTGAGAGACTCACGGCGGCCAAAATAGCTTACTGTGTCCCCGATGAATCTCCTGCATTCCTCTTCTTTGACAACATCAGCAGCCATAATGAGGACATGCTTCGCTCCCAAGAGCCTGCAATTCTCCCTTATCCCTCTCAGTCTCTGTTCTCTCCTCGCAACCAAGACCAAGTTCGCCTTCTTCTTAGCGTACTCATAGGCTATTTGCTGCCATATTTTGATATTCATATGCAGTCAACATATTTTCCTTTATTTTTTCCAAAAGGCTGGAATTAATTAGCTAGGTGCATATGTGATAATTAAGAGACTTATCACTACATTTGATTAACGCAATATGAAGTGAATACGAATAATCAATGGAGAAGAAACTTTTTAAAACTTTAAAAAACCATTTTATCTCATCATATTGTTAAATGATTGGGTTAATTTCATAAAACCCCGTGAACTTTGAGGAATTCTGCCCATAACCTCCCTCCTGAACTTCGTTTATCTCACGAGCGATCGAATCAATAATTATCAAATCAAGTTTCATACGTACTTTTGTTTTCCTTCGCTTCTCACAAGTGAATAGGTGTGTATGTACAACTAATGGCCACGGGTCGGTGGTTTATATACCTCGCCGATGGCGGATGAGGCACCGGTGATGACGACAACCTTGTCCTCCATGTTCTCCTTAAAGAAGCTGTGGAAGAACCACTCCACAGCATGCAGGAAGGTGAGGGTTGGCCACGCAAACGCCAGCATCACCATGCTCGCCGGCGGAACCACAAAGTTCATCAAAGAGTTGAGCAGATCCATCGCAGACCGATTGTTGCAGTACGTACTCCCAAGAAGAAACTAATTAATTGGAGAGGATGATCGACCAATTTAGGCGAGGGAGAGAGAATTGAAGGCCGGGAGATCGAGAGCAAGAGTTCTCTTATGAAGCAAAGCAAGTGATCAGGAAGGGAGGAGATAAGAACAGAACAGAAGGGGGGTGGGGTTTGGTGTGGACTGTGGAGGGAGGGAGGGAGGGAGGGAGAGAGAGAGAGAAATGGTGGTGGTGGCATGTGAGCCAGGATGCATGCATTGCACACGTCGAGCGCTCGGAGGGGGAGGTGGTGACAGATGGAGGGTCTTGTTTTGGGAGCTTCTGAAGTTGGCGGTCCGCCTAATATATATTTGTGTAATTAATGCTCGGATATACATATGGTAACGTAATTCCTATTTCCATTGGTAATTTGTTTAGGTGGTTTTCTGCACCCCCCACGCCCCAGTTTTTACCGTACGTGGTTAATCTGTGAGGAGAATTTACTCGCGATAACTGATCCCATCGACGCGCCCCTGGATTAGAAAGTGGTGAAACGGGCCAACCGATTAATATCTGTTGGTTGGGAGCGAGGGAGCGCCCACTTTGCCGCGGAAGCACATCAACCCGAGAGAGAACAAGCAACAAGTAATAACGAATACATAGATAAAACAATAAGTAAATGAGAGGAGACAAATTTACGTGGTTCGGCAAACTTACCTACGTTTACGAAAGCCACACAAATAATTTCTTATTTGACCACAAGAAATTACAAACTTGCAAAGAGGATCTCAAACTTGAGATCTCTCAAAAATATAGATTACTATAGAATTGCTACAGTACCACGTGTGATTTATTCAGCTGAATAAATCACCACCCAATCTCAATTTCAATAAATCACCGCAAGCTTTCTTAAAATCCTGCCACCACAGTTTCTCCCTTCTGAAAAATCGCGAGATGAAGCCGCTCTGCTCAATCTCACTCGTGAACAGGGTTTCCCTTTTATAGGGAAACCCTAGGGTGATCTCCAGCTGGCTCCAGCTGGCTCCCACCACGCAACAGGCGAACTCACCCTCGCCCGCAGGCGAGCTCCCTCGCCTCACCTCTCCAGGCGAACTCTCTCCACGAAAGGCGAGCTCGAGCTCGTTCGCCTCTCTACGCCAGCAAGCGAGGTCGCCTCTCCACGCTGCAGGCGAGCTCATCGCCTCTCCACGCTCGTAGGCGAGGTCGCCTCTCCACGCTCGTCGCCTCTTGATAATCACATTTTATTATAATTTTGTACCATCATTATCTATTTTATATGAATAAATATACCATTAATAATAGTTTTTATCTTTATTTGCAGGTTAGTGAGGAATAAAAGCCCAATATCTCTTCTCTTAATAAAGCCCACGAATTAATAAAAAACACAAGCAAGAGACCAAAAAACCTAATAATTATTCAAACAAAGAAATTGTGGAAGAAGCCCATGGAGATTAAACCCAAAAAGCCAAATATCATTTCAACAAAATGCCAAGGGAGCTCTTGGCATATATGCGGACCTGCTGCCAATGTGTGGGTTTTTATTTTTAAAAATCATGAAGAAAGCCCATGAAGCAAATCAAGAAGCCCAATGGAAAATCAACAAGCAAAAGGCCTAAGAATCCAAGCCTAAAAGCTCAAAGACTAAAAATAATTCATTAGGGCTTAAGTCTTCATCCAATGACTCTCATTCATTGTTGTTTACTATAAATAGGGGTAGAGAGTGAGGGGTTGAGGGTGAAAAATTTTGTAACTTCATTTGGAGAGGAGAGTTACTCTTAACTGAGAAGACCTTCCAAAAATTATAACTTTTGTTACAATCAATAATTTTTTTTACCACTTTAAAATTTCTTCTCTTTATTTGATGATGATGATGGAGATGAAGACCAATTTGAAGGGTTGTTTTTATTTTATTTTTTTCTTTTATTTTTTATTTATTGTTAGTAATTTCTTTCTTAGTGCTTATTAGTTTAGATTTATATTCATGTCTTGTAGAGTATATTTATTTTCTTATCTTTATTTTATTTTGTATTTTAATTTGTAGAGTAGATTTATTTTCTTAAATTTTTATTTCTTTTATAATTTAGCTAGATGGACAAATTTTCAAAATCACTCTTTTTGCCATTTTATATAGCAAAACTGACCCTTATGAAAATATTCAGCAAAATCGACCATTTTCTTCTGAAAAGGGTTGGTTTTGCTGTTGGAGAAATTTTACCAAATACACGGGACTGCTAGTCCCGTATATTTCGACCCAACTTTGAATTGCATGAGACTAGTAATCCCGTGCAATGGATTCCTTTACCCATGCCCCCCCTCTTTCCTCATTTGCTTCACCCGTGACCCCCTCAACCCTCTACCTCATTTGCTTCACCTGTCAATCCCTCAACCCATACCATCTCTCTTGACCCCTCCGCTTCTCGTCCCTATCTCGACGCCGCCGACCCCCACTAATCGAGTATTTTGACCACCGCCGCCGACCAAGCAAGCTCCGACCAAGGTAATGTTGTTGTTTTTTTTGTTGTTAATTTTGTTTAGCCATGAAATTTCCTTTTAGTTGAGATTTGGGATTATGGTTGAACCATGAGTATTATGGTTTAGGATTAGGGCTTTTTTACTTTTGAGTTGAGATTTGGGAATATGGATTTAGTTGAGATTTGGGATTATGGTTTTTGCTTTTGAGTTAAGATTTGGGATTAGGGTTTTAGTTGAGATTTGGGATTAGGGTTTTTTTGCTTTTCAGTTGAGATTTGGGATTAGGGTTTAGTTGAGATTTGGGATTAGGGTTCAACCATGATTAGGGTTTAGACATGAATAATATGATTTGGGATTAGAGTTTTTAGCAATTATTTGCTTTGCAGTTGAGATTAGGATTTTAAATTTGACTATAAATTAAGATTAATATTTCCAGTTATAATAGATTATTTACATATGATGGACTGTTGATTTTTAGTTTTGATGGCAAACTCTATACTCATTATTTGCTTCTTCAATGGGAGCATCGGCGTCAGATTGAATAGTATGCCGATATATGAGGGAGGTTCTAGAAAAATATTTATGCTATCTAAGTCATTCAATTTTGATAGAATGATGAATGAAATACACAGAGTTACGAAAATTAATAAAGCAGAGTATGCAATTAGCATGTTATTCAATTGTCCGATAAATTAGAGTAGAACTATTGCTGTGGCGATTACTGACGATGAGGAATTGAATGACATGAAATAATTAGTGGAGAAGCAAATGTCAATTGAGTTGTTCATTGAGAAGTATCAGATTTAAGAATTTGCCCAAGTTTCATGACTTTAAGGAGAGTTTTCTCGGATGTTGGACTAAGACAATGAGTCGAGTGATTTTATGACATCTCCAAGTCAAGAGCCATGGTTTCAACTACAATATTTAAGTGGGCATTCTCTTGGTGGGACGTCAAGTACTATATTTAACGATGCTTCGGGCTATGTTACGGGTGATCTATCGACCGTATCAATTATAGAAGAAGAAGTAAATGATAATTTAGAAAATACTGAAGAAAAAGGCGTGCAAATTGATAGCATGCATGTGGTAGTTGGAATCGATGATGATTCTCGTCGGATGGAACAATTTAATGTTAACAATGATTATGTAGAAGCTGAAGATACGTTACCCGACGAGTTTCATAATGAAGATTGGATAAATACTTCACAAGCTAAATTTGTTGACGTTGGTCCAAATTTTTAACGTCATGAGGACATCACTTTTAAAAAAGGGGACCTATTCGAGAGAAAGGAACTATTGATCTTTGCAGTCCGAGAATGGTCTATCAAAAATCGGGTCAAATTCAAGCCTGTGAAAACTAATGCAACCAACTACTATGTAAAATGTTATTTCAACGAGAAGAATGAAGTAGAGCATGCAAATGAGCAAGATGAGAGAAATAGTAAATGTCCTTGGTTGCTAAATGCAGCTGTGAGGACATCATCAAATGGGTAATTTATAATATCTAGATATTGCGGGCTTCATACATGTTGCAATCCGTCAGTGGATGTCGATGATTATTCTGCATCTTCCTCTTATATATGTAAGCTAATTATGCCTGAAGTTAGAGCTGAACTTGATCTAAATGCAAGTCAGATATTTCAAAGGGTATATGATATGCGGGACATTAAGATATCTAAATATAAGGCATATGATGCAAAGAGGAAAGCGTTGTATAAAATATTTGGAGATTAGGAATAATCTTATGAATTATTTTCATAGTATCTTGAAGCTATAAAGTGAAATAATTCGGGTACTGAATATGAAATATTGTCTGAAGAGATTGCACCGAGGATAGAGAGGTTCACTTGAGTATTTTGGGCATTTGGTCCTGCTATTAAGGGCTGCACTTTTTGTCATCCGTTATTGAGCATTGACAGTACGCATCTATATAGCAAGTACAAAGGCGTGCTTCTTGTGGCGACAGGTGTAGATGCAAATGGTGGTTTATTTCCTCTATCATTTGCAGTTGTGGAGGTAGATGATACTTCTAGTTGGAAGTGGTTCTTTGAACTTATATACAAGTGGATTCCTAGTGTCCGTACGCCCAAATTAATTACTTTCATCTCGGATAGGATGAAAGGAATTATAAGGGCATTACATGAGGGTTTTGGTGCACCACATCATCATATCGATATTGTTTAAGGCATATAAGAGATAATTTCAAGAAAAAACACGGTAAGATTAATTTGCAAAATCTTTTGTGGCAAGTTGGGGGTGTAACTGATACATTAGTGTATGAACATTATAGAGAGAAAATCAAGTCTTTATCATTAGATGCACATAATTGAATTGAACATAACTTGAAGCCTTAATTCGAGCATCAATGGACATTATGTACGGATGAGGGTGTGCGGTTTTGCATGATGACAACTAATTGCTCTGAGAGCTTTAACGGCGTTCTTAAAGGAGCACGAGCTATGCCAATTCAATCATTGGTTGCAAGAATGTTCTATAAGCTAAACTCATACTTCAA